CATCATTTCAAAATTAGTATTTGTCCCATTGGTTTATGACCAAATACCTGAAATGACATTCCCATCAGCCTCAGCTGTACATCGTGATTAGGGACAATTAGCAAATGTTAAAAGGCTAACAGGCTAAACTACCTTGGCAAACCTGCTAAATAGATTACCTGCTTTACAACACCAGGTTAGCATTGTCATTGAAAGTATGTTAGCATTTGGCTAAAAGCATGTCTGTTGACTCTTCGTTCTTCTTTCCCTCAGACAGCAGACAGCTGGCAGCCATCTTGTGTCCTGTGGTTGCCATCGGATTTGTGGCCCTTATAATCCTGTTCTTTGTTCGTCGCCCCAGAAATGAATCATGTTTCAAGCAAGGTCAGATGGTGTTTACACCCAGGGTTTCTGGTGTCACAGTTTAACCAATTGAACCCTTGAACTTTATGATCAAATCACTTCTGGGAAACAATAAACTGTTTACTGAAAGCCAGTTTAAAAATGTGACATTAGCTTAGCAAAGATAGGCTGTTGCTATGTGAACCATTTATATCATTTTTTATCAGCGGTGGCCATATGTGAACTGACTTTCTATTATTTATCTTCCGTTTCGCAGTTATTGCATTGCTGCTATGCAATGAGGTAAGTTGCTAATTTTAAAAAGCTTAATTCTGTCACATACAGCATATGGCATCATTTCTCTTTTGTTTGGCCCACACTGACGGACACGTTTTTCTTTAGGGAGGTAGAGATGCTTCTCACAAGTCGAAGGAGTCAACTCATCAGTTCCCCAGAGACTCATTCAGTGCAAAGCAGCAGCCATCATCCCTTTCAGCAGCCAATCTAGGTACTGATGAGTGAAATGAAGACTTTCATGTGAAATACTTGACTCACTTTGTGACGTTATTAATGAAATAAAAAAAGATGCACCTGTGATACTGTTATGAGTTGTAACTACTTGTCCCATTCTATAAATTGTATGTTAATGCACTCCTGATCAATTAAAACATTCCTGCTCTCTCTGCTTGTTTTTGTCTCTATAGGTCCAGTCCATGTCCACAATCCGGGCACGGTCATCTTTAGCTTGCTCAGTCAGTTTACAGGCCAGGTTGGTCCGACAATTGAAGGTGGGAAGACGATCGAGACGGGGAGTGGCGAAGAAGAAGACGAGAGAGACTGTCCCGTGTTTCATCCCACATCCTCTCCTAGTATTCATCTCTCTGAAGAGGAGAGGAGGGGAGAGACTGAAAGCATTTTCTTTCCCTCCCAGGAGCAGGGAAAGGACTGCCATGTTTCCAAAGAAGAGTCGCTATGATACATTGTGAAAACCAAGATTTGTGTTGGTGGTTAGGACCTCCAGCATCCAGACTGATCCTAAAAACATTCTTTTAAAGGAAGGAACCATAAAACTGTGAAACTACAGATGAGTGTGTAGCAGATTCATCCTTCTTTGGCAAACTGTGAATCACAGAGATGTGTTCTACAGAGATATTTTTATATGCAGCCTCTGGGAAAGCTTGAACCATGGGAAGAACAGCTGGAAGGTGATCTCTTTTGTAAGTTATAATTTAATATGTAAATATGTAAATATTCTTTAATGAGATCTCTCTAAAGTATTAGATTTAAATGTTTAATGTTGCATAAATATTAGGCATTTGATTACAATAAAGTTTTATTAACAAAACAAAGTAGAAATGTATCAAGTTAAAAACATTCACATGTTATATGTATAATACAACTGCAAAACAGAAAAAAAGTATATATACACATATAAAGAATATCTTTAACTTTTGTGTACTACAGTACATACCCTTTTATCAACACACTGCACAATTTCTATCTCGTGCATAACCACCACACTCTGTATTTCCAGATTTTCGAGATTTCAGATCCCTAATCTCTTTGTTTTTCATACACTTTAATCTTTGTAACGTCACAGATGTCAAACACTCGTATTTCCTCTCAGGAAAGAGCATCAGTCTTTCTGTGGTTCCATACGTCAGCATGGATCAAGTGACATTTGGTTTGCCTCCATTTATCATAAATGTCCAAAGCAACAAGAGATGTTTTGCATCTGCCACGTGTCACTAATTGCCTGCCAGTGAAATTTTTCAAAAGTTCAAGTTTAAGTTCAGGATCTAGTCTTTAACCCATCATACGTCAAGAGGTTGGTCACATTTCCCACATACTTCCTGGACAGGCTTGGATACGCTGTCGTCCTCTAGGAATGGTGGCATTGGTGCAGGTGTTTTAGCCAAAAGGTAGCCTGAGTAACAAGAGAATAGGGGAAGTTTTTTTTTTATACAATTGCATTGAAATACAAGGAAATAATGGCTTTAGATAACAAAAACATAAATTCATGAACATTATAAAATGATAAAAGTACTACACTTCCTGTATTTGAACGGGTTATGTGATTCATAATAATAATCTACTAACCGTGCTTTGATCGGATCCAGTGCAGAAAGGGCTTCATTTTTGTTATACCAAAAAAGCTGAGTATTACAGACAGGAGGATAATTATGATCAGGAACCATGCTGTATCTGTAAGAACTTGAGAGACATTTTTTTTAAATTTAGATGAACATCCACTGGGGAAAGAGCTTTTTTTTATCTTCACAGACAAAACCAGTAGTTCAGTGGAAATACTAAACTGTTCATACTTCAGATTAGTCAGTGAGCTCACTCTGTGGTACCTTATTTATTGCACTGTGGTCATAAAGACTGGATTTATAATCAGATAACATCATTTCTAATTAACTCGTGTCACCTTGTGTGTATGACCTTACTCCCTGGACACCGCAGAGTAAAGAAACAGTTGCTAACTGAGAACATATAAATAAATATTTATTTGTATTATTTTTAGTAGATTACATCAGCACCAAACTGTTTGAATTGAACTTGGCAACTGTTCCGAAATGCTCTACAGTACGTCGCCATGGTTACAGTGCTCTCTGTAGTGGTAGAACATGTTGCCACGGTTGCAGTTCTGGGGAGCTTTTTTTTAAAGCAGCAGGGGCGTAGCAAGTAATTCAGAGCCCCTTAAAAGAGCAAAGACCCCAGCGAAGCCTTTAAAGCAGTAATTAATATTAATTTAAAAATAAACTGTAAACACAACATTGGCATATTATCGCCTCAGATGTTAGCAAGCAATTGGCAATTTACACATCTAGCAGACACAGATGGCATTAGCATTAATTTGGAGTGATGTTTAATTTTTTCAACCCTCCCTTAAGGTCTGTTTTGTTGTGATCTTTTAGCTGCAAAATGCTAGTCTTTAGTGCTGGGCAGGTAGCATACAGTCGGTTAATATGAGCCTTTTTCTGCTAAAAAAAACAGCTGTCTGCTGCTGCTGGAAACGAGGTTGATGGGTAGCAAAACAATAAAATGATGTTGCTGAATACCAAAAGGATGAACTGAAAGACACTAAAAGTCCACACCCAACAATGATGTTGGCGCAGCAAAACCCAGAAAGGTTAGAAAAACAATTTATGGCAATGTGGTTACTTCTGTGGTAACCTTTAATCCTGGTGGTAGGTTTGTTCCCAGTGTTTTCCATATTCAAGAATCCAAGGATTCAAGGTTTTATTATTGTCAGATATAGTTACCTTTATACTACTTTTAAAAACAAAATAAATTCTATGTATTATATGCTGACTCTTATAGTGTTTGATGGCCACACCCATCCAAAACAAAAAACTCAGTTTATTTAAACAGTATGATGCTTAAAATGTAAAATGCAATTTCAACAGCTATGTGTCGAATTTGGTTGAATATGCGGAACAGAAGTATCCTACCTGTAGTGGATGAAGAGTTTTTGGGTGTGGTGGCAGGTGTGGGTGTGGTTGTAGGTTTGGTGGTGGTTGGTATTGGCACACACACTTTGCAGGGTTGTTCTCTGCATTCATAGCCAGCTTTACATCTGCACACGGTGTCATGGGTGCTGTTACAGGCTGACATATACTCCATGTTAGCTGTACAAAAAATAAAAAACAACAATATTCATTAAAAGATAAAGTATGAGCATCATTCTGACTATGTTAGTGTGTGTGACAAGCGCACAAAGGTTGTCTATGACACAAATCAGAAAATGAAAAATGACTCAGAAACAAGGCATGGAAGGTAATGATTCTGGCTTTAAGTCATAAGACAGTTATATTATCACTTGTGTTACCTATTCTTGAGGGACAGCTGTTATTTCTCAGTGAAAGCAGTATTTCACTTTGATGAAACATTTTCTTTCTTTCCGAATGCGTTAACAGGCAATGTGAATTCAAATTAACAAAGAGAAAACTACTTGTATGAGACCAATGGAGCCCTCATAGTCATCACTAAACATCTGTGTTAATAACCAATCCAACAGTTTATACTACTACTACAATAATGACAATCTTTTGTAGTATAGTCATTTAGGGTCATAGCTCAGAGAGAGCTTCAGTTGTTAGTGGTTCCATTTTTTACATGAACTGATGTAGACTGTCTACAGCTAAAACTTAATTATAACCTCAAACACAGACACACTTTCATTATGTTTGTTGGGTGTAATTACATTATTACTACATAGTTATCACTCTGCAGGTGCATAATATAATCATATGTATGATGTTGTGAGGTCACATTTCACCATAGAGCAATGAATTTGGAGATGTTGGAGCTGGCATCAGCTCTTTAGCTTGGTTGTTACCCCACCCACTACTTTAGTCTGCTGTCCCACGATAGTCTATTATAGCACAATGAAAAAAAGTCTTCAAATTGCCATTATTTTAAGTTTCGTTCTTGGATAATCCATAAAATATGCATATAAATGAGGACAGAAACCAGTATAAAAATGATGGGTGATTGTGGATTTAGAGCAGTAGATAGAAATTATATAATTTAAGGGGCTCTGAGAACTGAAAATGTTATACTGTAGGAAAATATTAACAAAGTTGAATGTTTGTAGCATAGTGCCTCCTTTGAAACTTTGCACATCCTGATGAAGACCATAGAATAACTAAATAAACGTTAATAATGTTGCAGTGCAAGAGCAGCATGTACAGTTTTTGTGTGGGTTGAATCATTTCCACTTAAATTAGTTTCCATTGCCGTTAATTGGCCTAAAGCCCCTGCATGTGTAGGATTAGAGGTTTTTGACATTTTGAACACCCACCATTATCCCCCCAAATTCTATTATCTTCTATCAAAGAGTTCTGTATGTAACAACAGCCTTTAAAAGGTTTGTTTAAAGCTGCACTGTTAACGTTGGATTCAAATTGGCTAACACTGTTATAATATTTAAAGAAAGCATCTTGTTGCTCATGTAAAAGTTAGGCGCTGCTAAAATATTCATGTACCCAAATTTCAGACTGAGAATTACATACTTTCTCTTGTGTGTTTTCTATATTCTATGTTTTCCACAGTGACATTTAAAAATAAGCATAACAGGCTGTTTTTGCTCACCTGTAGCAGGGCAAAGACCTGAGTAATAACCTATAATATGACATTTATGTCTGCTGCTCTTTCCGATGTTTACCACTTTTCTGTTTTTCTTTTTTTCCACTGACATGACAATGGTCTACTTTTTGAACCTCCCCCTGTCTTTACCACTATTGGTGGGCTGTGGTGCCTATGCTGGTTTAATTACCATGAAAACATGAACTTCTGCTGCAGAATTTCACCATAATAACCCCCAGGCTGGTTCACAGAGGGATTCTCAGACCCCCCATCACCTCTTCCTTTTAATCTCTGTCTGACTGTATCCCACCATGAACACAGAATGGGAAATCCCCTTGCATATGTGACCTTAAGTTACTTCTCTGAAATCATGATCAGACAGAGTTGAGTAACAATTAACAAGTTGTTTTCTCTAAGGTTTTGTGCCTAACTGGACAAACTTGGTGGTCGGGACTGCAGAGAAATGATGAATCACTCATATACAGTATCATTCACAGATATCACACACAAGATAAACAGCAGACCACAATGTTAGGGGGGAATGGCAGATAGTATTTTTGTAGTCATGTTTAATAATAGATATGACCGCATGAGATCTGCTGCTCTGTTTAATCTCTATTTTTTAGATTGTTCAAATTTTCTTCTTCAACCTGAATATCTGACAATGAAACAGGCTAATAATCATATTTATGTATTGATATTGTACTACAGCTATGAATAACAGACTGTTGCTATGGGCGTAGTTCTGATCATAGACTCTGGAGGACCACAGTGGAAACAATAGAATATTTTTTTAAATCAATAAAATCATTTTAAATCAATATTTTGTGTCAAATTATGGATTTATTTAGTAAGTTCTTTGTGTAATAAGCAATATAGGATCTTGGATCCTTCTGTCTGGGGTTTATTTTACAATAATGCATTATCCCTTACATATAATATCATATAAGACTTAATAATAATTATTGTTCTCAATTATATTATGTCAAGGCTATTTCTGTTGTAGGTCTAAAAGTATAATATTCACCAAGTTGTTCACAGGTTTCACACATAGTTAGCACCTCACCCCTAAGACAAAAGCTGTGAAATTACTCACGTTTATTGCAACTTGTACAATGTTTGCAGTATAGCTCCACGTTGTAGGTATCAGCGTAATGGTCATCCATGCAAGTTTCACATGTAATTTGACATTTCACATTTTGTGAACGCCGAACCATATATTTACCTGTAACACACATACACAGTAATTTACAGTTATAATAACTTGTTTGCATAAAAACTAGGAAATCAATACGAAAAGAAGTAATTGTACCTGGCTGGCACTTGTTACAGCAAAACTTGGAGTCTGTCACTGGCCAGGAATATTGTGTGTCATTGCACTGTAAGGAAAGCACAGCAGAGAGGAAAGACAGACTGCACAGGATAGTAAAGGCAAAATGACAGAGTTGCTGCATCTGGGAAGGAGAAGAGGAGGGGTACGAGCAGAAAGAGGAGGAGGAGGAGGAGGAAAACAATGATTTATTATGTCAGATATATTCACATACTAACACCAACAGATACAGAGTGAAACAACATAAATCTTCTAGAAAATGACTAAGGTCTATAGTGCATACAATATAGTCTATACAGACACATTTAATGTGAAAAAGAAATTCAGCCCTGTACTGATACAAACATCTATTAACTTTACACCCTACTGCAGTTGAAATTACAAGAACATTAACTTACAAATCTACTAATATTCAACACAACAGGACACTTTTATTTAACAGCACTGGCCGAAATGTATCACTTCAGTCTTCACTTACCATGGACGAGAAGGTGAGAGGAGATGTAACCAGGGACCCTCTGAGTGTGAGACTGAACTGGGGACCAGAAGCGTGTCAGGGGATTATTCATCTCTGTGATGACTCATCATGAAAGATGAAACATTTTACTGATCTTTTTTAAATCTCCCTGCCCTTATCATTCTGACTTTCATCCTGTTTCTTTGTTACGACCCCAAAAACATGCCCCCCCTCCAGCCTCCACTGTTTTCCACAGGCACCATCTGTCTCGTTTCATCCTAAATCAATCTTTTGGTTGCTTTCTCTCTCTTTCTTGAGTCTGCCCCTTTCTCTCCTTCTTGAACTTGGATGACAAGGTAATTTCAGTAAAAATATCACATACCACTCATTTAACTTCCAGCCATCCTGTTGCTCTTACAGAAAGCTGTTGAGGAGATAAACATTATTCCAGGAAATGACAATATGCTGATGATGCAGTGCTGTAACTTTATGACACATGAGTGTGTGATAAAAAGGAGATTTCTATTAACAATACCAAATACAAAGATAAGACCAAAATTCTTAATTAAAAAGTGACATTAGTCACCTTATTATAAATGTCAAAAATCATCCTTTTGTTTTTTAAACATGACTTCTTGACTTTTTTCTTGACTTCCAGTGTGTTTTTGTAACTGTAAATTGTAATAATTGTCTGTTCTTCTTTCTGAGGCTTTTCTTCAGCCTGTCCACCATTCAGCTGTTAGTTCACTTCACATCACCCCTGTCATTTTTTACAGAAACCAGGCCACAACACGTGACCTCTTGTCAACTGTGAAATGGGGTCTAAGGTTGACGAAGCATCTGAAAGGGGCTGCCTCCAAGGCCAAGTGTGGCTCTCGGCGAGTGGCGCAAGTACAGGGATGACTGGAAGAGAGATGACTTAGCATGAAAGCTCCACTGAACTGACTATTCTATACCTAGTCATGCCTTTAGTGAAGTTTCAGGATTAGGATGCATGACTGTAACGATTCGTATGTTTAGATTAGAACTTCTGAGGGATCTTTGCCAGGAACATGTCAACCAAGTTGTGTTGAGATAAATAGATACTAACTAATCCACATGCAGATTCATTCATAGCTCAGTCCAATTGTCACAGTTGACCTTACAGGCTGTATGAAACTCAGCAGTGTGGGTGCTTGCACGTGCATGTATGAGAAGACCAACTTAAAAAGACTGTATGCCACATGGCAATGTTAAGTATTACACTGCCATTATACAGATAGAGAGAGAGAGAGAGAAGGAGGAAGAGAGCGATCAAGGATGTGGTTTTTCTGAGGAAGTGCTTGTCTTGCTCTGCTGACTTATTGCTGAGTTATTTCATGTACTGTACCAGCAATGTCACGTGAGGCTACACTCTGCTGGCCTGCTGAATAAAGTACCAGCCTATTGTCGTACCTAGGGGGGCCTGTACCAGCCTATTGTTTTAATTATGATCACCATAATTAAAGGTGCCCATAATTACAGTGCATCAAGTTCTACATTGTCTGCACTTACTCTATATAGACATTTACCCAAATTAAAGGAGAGTTTCCACTATGGACCCCGAAATACTATATTTATTTTATTTTTCTCAATATCTGTGAAAATTAATTTAAATGAAATTAAAATTCAATTTCTTAAAATCCATCGGTTTCTCTATCTATCCCTATGTATTTCTTTAATTTGTAATTGCAAATTCCTGATATCTCCCTGGAATTTTCATGATATCGAATGCAGTTTAAGAAGGGGTTAATTAAGGTAATCTTGCACAAAAAAAGAAGAAATATGATAAACTTATTATTATTTATATTATTTAGTATTTCTGTATCTCATTCAACCTTCTTTTACCTTGGAGTGAAGTAAGGAATGATGTGCGGACTGCTATACACTGACTCACCTGTCTTGTTCGTTACACTGCAGTAGTTAAAGTGTGTGTTTTTCTCGGAGATGCCTTCTTGCCAAACTCTGCCTCACACGAATTCCTTTAAATGAGGCTCGTGACCAACTACTTCCCGTCTGAGTCCGCCTCCGCTCGTGCACAGAAGACAGGGGGACCGTCGCGAGGCTCTCAGCTCAAAAGTTAAGTTAAATTAAAATATACATTAATGTCGGTCTATGGACACATGAAGTGAAGAGATATCCCTCGTTATAACAGTTATCCAGGTAAGTGAAGGCAAAATACCTCTGCATGTCAACTATGTGGGAAGAGGAGATTCATATCAGGCTGTGGTGGGCGTTATGTGGTCTATAGCTAAACCGAAACCAGTGAGACAAGAAACAAAAACAGTAAAATCTTGACTGTAGATTTACCTTTTATATGCGTCAACGTTATCTGTAAATGCGAAAGTCATAAGATTGAGTTTTGAGGGTTTTAAAGTTGTCAAAAGTTCAATCTTGAAGAGGTTCAGTGTGACGGGGAAGTTGGGGGTGAAGCTGCCAAACAAGTGGCGCAGGAATATCAGAGCCGTTTATTAAAATTGGCTGTTGACCAATGTGTTCATTTTGTCTCTACTAACAACATATTGAATAAACTAACCGTACATACTTTTCTCTTTAATGTGTGTTGAATGCCCTTAAACCACCTATAAAGGGCATTTATGGTGGATGACCGTTTTCGAGACAACCTTAAGTGACTCCACTTAATGACACAGTAAAATGAATAATTCAACCCAAACCTGACAAACCCTAACGTCATTAACAATCAAAAAGTGTGAGCGCCATTTGTGATTTTAACACTTATATGTACACACATACCAGGAATATACCAGTACAACAAACTAAAACAGTTAAAACAAAACTAAAATAATAAATAAAAGTGTTGAATAAATGTGTTTAATATTAAACTAAATTAAATAAAGTGGCTTTAACTTTTTTATAATCAAAATAGCAAATTAATTAAAAGAGTCTTGCTCCAAAGCCGACCTTTCAGGTACTTTATTTTGTCTGCTTAGGTGTTAAAACCACCTCTGAATCTTCAGCCCACTCCCCTGTATTATATAATGCTCACTCGAGTTACTCCACACACTTGTGAACTGGACTACAGGAAAGCTTTTGATTTTTCCACATTTATTGCTTTGAGCACCTGAAATGAAACTACCTTGACCTCCATTTTATTGGGTTGGCAGCAGAAATCTTAGAGGTGGATGTCTCTAAAATTCCAGGTAAATTGTCCCTTAAGTAGTAAGTAAAGACATGTTTTCCTCTTGTATGTTATCTTCCTAAAACATCTAGAGCCACTCAAGTTGTTAATTGACACACCAGAAAGCATTTATAGATAAAGAATTGAGAGAAAACTTGCTGACATGGCTCTTTACTACTAGTGCCTGAGTAAAGGCCATGTTGTCAGAAATCAGAGGTTTAGCCTTGTTAGTCTGGTCATTTTATGTCTTGTGAGGCTCAGCTGCATATAGTCAGACTTGGTTCCGCCTTAATCACATATAAAGCTATAATCAGATGGAATTGAGGCTGGATTACTAACTGGGTAAAATGTCACCTTGTAGTTTATGTTAATATTCCCAGAGTACTACTCAAAATGTAAACCTGGGGTCGGGCAGTGGAGTGGAGAATGGGAGGACTGGGGGGGTTAATGGGACCAATAATGGAGCTCAGCAGTTCTTTATTTACCTTAATGGATTTACTTGGAAATGATTGCACTTAGACTCATTTTTCAATGCAAAGTTGGCTAAAGTATCCTGTCATGAACTGTGGTGTACTACAAACTGTGACCTGTTGGTGGTGCCAGATGAAAGGTGCATTATTATTATATATTATCTGTTGTTTTGTATACATCATTTGGTGGCAATTAATGTATTTGTAAAAATATTTCACAGAACAGCCAATTGACTGACTGACGTTGACATCCCCTTAGTGCTGTTGAGTTAGTTTTTCAATGTATGACATTCATTTGATTTAGTTGTAAATTTAAGGCATTAAATAATTAGTTTTAAATAGTAGTGTGTGCAGCTAGAGCTTATTGCCTACCCATCGTTCAGCAAATATGGACTCAGTAATTTAACCTCTGTGAGCTGTTACATTACTTTTTAGTTGGCTGTTAGAGGTGTTATACAGATTGTTTTTCTTGCAGGTGGCTTCAGATGGACTGAGTTAAACCTGTAAGATAATGGAGGGAGGTGTCCACAGAAGAAGATGGAATAAATACGTCCCTGTTGGCTCAGTACTGCTCCTTATGGTATGAAATACTTTGAAAATGCATGAATATATGAAAGTGCCTTGTAATGGACAACAGAGCTTTGCTTTATATATTTATTGTTGTTTAACTTCAATTAATGGCCCGAGCTTTTATTTGCTTCGAGCACTGAACTCAACCTGCCTTTATTTGGAACAGGTGTCTATATGGGACAGGCCTTTAATGCCTATGGGACAAAGCTCTTGTTCAGCAAAGAGGGGAAATAGTATCAAATTGTTTATTTAAATCATCAAGAATAGAGATAAAAATTAGGCTAGCGAATAACATCAATGCTTTTAACTGAAGTCTTACGTTCTGTTATATGTTGCAGTGCATGTTCATCCCTACATCAACATTGTTACAACCGTCAGAGGAGCAGAAATGTCCAACTGGGGACTATCTTACTGAAAACGGAGTTTGTTGCAACAAATGCCTTCCAGGTACTTCTTGGCGTCCTGCACATCATGATTCACAGCAGCATGTTCATTATTTGAAATATCACACATGCAGATTTCCTCTTCTACTGTTAAACCCATTTTACAAAGTCTTAACTGTGCTTACATGTAATGGTTATGTTTTTCAGGTTTTAGGCTTGAAGAAGACTGTCAAGCTGAAGGACTAAGATCTAAATGCACACCATGTGCCACTGGACTATACACGGACCAGGCCAACTACCAACGCAACTGCAGAAGATGCAAAAAGTGTAAAGGTAGAGTAACATAATATCTTTTCCTTTATCAGTGTGACCTGTTTTGATTTCCCACTCTTGTATCAGGTGATGGTTTGCTTTGTTAACTTATTCTTTCATTTGAACTTTTCTGCAGCAAAGCACGAAAGAGAGGAATCACCTTGTGAAGCATACCAGAACACTAAATGTCGCTGTGTGGACGGTTATTACAGATCTTATATCGACTCAGAAACCTACGAGTGCCTCAGATGTAAAGTATGTGGACCTGACGAAGAGGCAAAACAGACATGTAAGTCTAATGATCTGCAATGTAATAAATGATACTCAGTTATGTCTATGTAAAAGCCTCTTATTTATGTGGCTTATTTGCTCATTTCAGCCTACATAGAATTATTCTTGTTGTGCACAGGTACACCGGAGAGCAACACTGTGTGTGAGTGCAAAGAGAACTACTACAGAGTCAACAACAAGTGTGAGCCCTGCAAGAAGTGAGTGTACTAACATGTATGAGCTTGTACATGTATTGTTCCCTTCCTGCTGTTTCCTTAATGGGGAAGTTGGTTTGTTGAATTGAAACTTTGTTCAATATTTCCATTTGTTGGCAACAGAAGAGAGAAGTTACACTGAAGTCACTGACATTTTAACATTTGGGCTTCATCATGGGTTCATACATATTCTGTTTATGGTCCACCAGTATATATACATGTACACATAAATGAATAAATATCTTTTAGACATTCGTGACAAACTGTTGGTGATTTTACCCTACATGTTCCTGTGTAGATGTGACTGTGAAACTGTTCTTAAAGTGTAAACGTATCAGTTGTATCAACACTGGCTGGTGTTAAAAAAGCGTCCTATGTGTTAATCGCTTCCTCTTTATATGTGCTACTTCCTCTTCAATGTTGTGAAACATCCTCTCTGTTCTTCACAGTTGTACCCCTGAGTGCAAGCATCACTGTTCGTCACCTACTCTGAATACAAAGGGTGAGCACTTGTAACATTGTATTGATGCATTGTACTTATCATGTCAGCTTTTATATGAAAGACTTAATACAATCGTTTCCAGAATAACAATAAATTTAATATAGGAATACAGTAACCTTACATCTAGCCTACATGGTCATACATTCTCCTCTTCTGGTATGTATTTTGTTATGTGTAATGAACTACAGCCGCACTGTAGTGACAGTGGTGACCAGGTATTGAACAACAGTCTGACATGAAGGGTCAACTGTAACTTAAACACAGGTTCACTGTCCTATGGACTACCATATATAACATATATCATATATGGAGGATAGCAGGGATAGTAACTGCTGTGTTCTTGTTAGGTTTTATAACATTAGCATTAACGCTTTTTTAACATGTGTCCATCTTCATGTCTCGTTCCCTATGTACCTGTACGGATCCTTATGAAGCTCCTGATATTAAAAGGCAATCTTATTAACATAATTGGAGGATTTTTAGCTGTGACTCTGGTATTGTTGGTGCTGGGTATTGTCATCACCCACGTGGTGACAAAATGGTTTACCAAGAAGAAGTTGCAGAAATCATCTTCCCAGCCATCTGACGTCTCTCCAGACTCATTGGAGGTACACTAATCTAACTGTCTGTGGTTACTTATCTCTGCGGGATGCACGTCTACAGTCAATAAAGTTTGTTCTTTCCTTGTCTTATAGGTCCTGGTGCACAGTAGAATTCAAAAGGAACCTTCAAACAACAACAGTGTCAAGGCTACTCCTTATAGTCCTGTGAGTGAACAGGAGCAGCCGCTACACCTGCCTGACTGTATCCCCTTGGAAATCAATCAAGTGTATTTTATGCTGCACATAGCACAGTGCATGCTCCGATGGTCCAGTGTGTCTTGGCTGAAACATACAGAAAACTGTTGTACTAACTCTTATCTCTTCCCCTCAACACCCCCCTCCCCTCACCCCAGTCCCTGACCTGATCTACACGGTGCTGGATCTGGTTCCCGTGCTGAGGGTGATGCAGCTGGTGCGTTCTCTCGGCGTGAAGGATACAGAGATCGAACAAGCGGAGCTGGATCATCGATTGTGCCGGGAGGCTCACTACCAGATGCTACGAGTGTGGGCTGAGAAAGGCTCACGGGCAGGTGAAATGCTGCACTGGCCCTATTTGCAGGAGTTGTTGGACAAACTGAGAACGATGCACCTGGGAGGGGCAGCCGAGGAGCTGGAGACAAAGTATGGCATTCAGTAATTCTGCAACACATGCCAAGTGAAACAAAAAAACCAACACCAAGTATTGTTCTGTTTAGAGACTCTATCGCAAACGGACACGGTGCTACCACAAAAGCAGATATATTTCACAGCCACCAACATCACTGGGCATTCTACCTCTCCTGCTACTCACTGAGATGACAAGATCAAACTACTGAGAGCAACAAATCAAAATGTTATTTTGCACTGAAAACTTCACTTGCAATTTGTGAAGAAGTTTTAGAAATGTATATATTTTTGTTAGGAATAATTTGGGGATTTTGGGAACTGGGCTTATTCACTTTAGTTAGTGAGCTAAAATACACCTACCAATACCTTCAAAGCTCACAAATATGTGTTACATCTTGTTTGTTTAATCTGTACAAAAACAAAGTGTAATATGCTAAGCTAAGCTAATGGGCTCCAGCTTTGTATTTAAGATAAGATAGCTTTTATTGATCCCTGACTGGGGAAATTCACTCGCTACAGCAAAACAGAAAAAAAAAACAAGATATAATGAAAATAGAAGCAATAAAATAAAAGCTCTATGTACACTATGTACAACCTTTTTATATAAAGATGTGATTGATATGAAACATTGCAGAGGTCACAGCAGGAGGTAGTGGCATGGTGTGAAAATAAATGATTGCACAAGAACAAAACTAGATATAATAGAACAATATAAAGTATAGGTCTAACATTAATAATGACTGTGTAATGTATTTGTATTTTACATTACAAACATGAGGGTGTGAATAAGCATATTTTAAGTAGACAGTCTGATAAAACTTCGTAAGACACACAGTTTCTTTCATATTATGATTTCATACTTGGCTGATCTTTTTTTTAATCTTTTTTTTTATGACATGAATTCATGATTTCACTTAGGACATGCATTTTATTCATTTATTGGTTTTCTTTTACTGAATAGCAAACTGTATCCATTGTAACTGCTCTATCATTAAGCTACTCTGTTTTAGTTATAGTGCAAACATTTGTTTAATCATTAGTCAGAGCATATTTTGTTCATTTGTTACTTTGGAGCAAAGGGAAGTACAAAATCTACTGCTGGCCCTTCAGCCATAAAGTTAACTGGTGATGTTTTCCTGATGATACTGTATAAACAGTGCTTGTCTTGTTATGGGAACCATAACAAAGTTAGGGAGGTTTGCAGTTCCTACTTAATGTAGACCAGACCCCTGACACTTTTAACAGGCTTTTCACAGGCCCATTCCTTTAAACCCCATCAGACACATAAGCATTATTCATCACTGTTGGAGAAAACCGGACACGCCTTTTCTCAGTATGCTTCAGCCAAACAGCTTGTATAATACCAGTCTCAACCTGCAGATTGAGATACGAATCAGTCACACTCCAACTCAATGAGGATGTGTTGTTCCAAAGAACTTTTTATGCAGTATCAAACTATAATATACTAACACACCATTTATTGAGTAAACAATCAATATACAACATATAGAATATTTTTTTGTACTTAAATAATAAATAATAAATGAATATCCAATTTACTGTCATGTGCGTATCTGAATCGTTCCATAAATTTGTCTGAAGGCAGACAGCCGACATTGATAAGCTGAGAGAGCATGTGGGGGTGTGTGGATAAACTGTAAAGAGGATGTAATCGTGTGTTTAACTTCCAACCAGTCATGTAGCCAGTCTACATTCCAGCTTGAAGCTTTGAACAATCACGATCACATTTTCAATGACATATTTCCTCCTATATGTTTGACTTTCTTTTGATCTTTTCATCTTGCCATTTCTTTCCCGTAGCCACATTCTTTTGACCTGTGCACTTCCCTAAAAGTTCCCTATATGACTCACCTCTTCGTACCTGCATCCATTTTACTGTGTTATCAAACACCAGATTTCCATGGTTGATTTCACATCAGTGCCTCTCTTTATGTATTGAGCAAAAGAAACTGCTACACTGCTGTATGAAAACACACAAGACCTCCCCTCTTCAAATGATTTCCTCCTGTTTGCTCAGGGTGATCAATAAGCCTGATTGACATGAAACAACAATAGATCATCCTCAAGGAAATCAGTCACCACCTTAGCTCCACTAAGCACTTTTAACTGCGACACATTAACCAGCCCTTAGAACTGATTGTTAGCTGCGGAATCTAGTTGTTCCCGTCGGGCCAGTTGCAGTGGGCAGGGGTGCAGGTGAAAGGAAGAGAGGGAGGGACCGAACCAGACGGAGAGAAAGAGGAGGAGAAAGCTAAAAGAAACCAAAGATGACAGGCTGAAACAAAATGGATCCAACCAAGGCCAGGCAAAGTCTATAATTCTATCGATTAAAAGGCTCAGCTGGTGGGGCGAGAGGGTGTAGTTGCACTTGAGAGGAACATTTTACTTCATGTTTTCACTACAGTAAGTCACTTTCATGTTGGAGCTGCAGTGTGGAACCACGGACTCTCCTGTGGATACTTTTTTGTTGATTTACTGAGGCTATAAAACTACCAGGAAGCCAGTTTTTTTCTCATTGGGTTTAATTAAGTGTTATAATATGCAATATAATGTAATTTCAGAAATCTTTAGTTTGTTATTGTGGGATACAGACAGTGATTGTCAACAGGTATGACACTGTAATGAAAGCACTTGCGTCAGTCCTTTGATGTTTGACAGTACAGCCTGAGCCGATTAGTGCAGCGTACCTGTCTGCGGTGTGTGTGCTCAGGTGAGTGTGTTTGCTATTGGAATAGCCAAATCATGCATACCAGTTGCAGCAGTTATCCCGAGCTGCACTTACAGCGCAGCGTGTAGCAGTATCTAACAGTGGTGATCCTGCAGTGTGCAAAAAAGGGCAACATCAGTAAAATGGAGAAATATTTAGTTGAGATACAGTAGCTTCCAGAGAGTGGAGACACATTCTTCTTCGCTGTAACTTAAATCTGCAGCAGGACATTCTGCAAGTTGTGATGGTGTTGGATTTGTGGGAACTGATGTCAGATGAGTCCAGGAGTTGTACTTTGACCCGCATGACTGTGTAACTGGAGCTGTTGCTATGTGAAACTATTGGTGTTGAATGAAAGTCACTGTAAGATGCAACAGTAATGATGTGTGTGCTCCCAGTTACCTGACAGGCATTTACTGTGTGTGTATGACATAGAACCACGAGTTTCTGCAATAGTTAAACTCTTCTTATTATAGCAATTCAACTGAAATGAAAAATCTCTCTATACTATAGATATTTAGCTTTTTTTGGTGATGTTATTTTTGTTTTGCAAGATACATTTACCAAAATAAGAAAGCAGAAAAACAAAATATTTCTGGATATTTCAAACTGGACAGACATGTGAAAACTGACATGCTTTATTTTTAGGGGTCAGAAGTCAAAAAGGTTGACCACTGTCTTAAAAGATGATCTAATCCCATTGCTTATTATTTATTTTACTCCTTGTTCTCATCTGTGTTTGTTTGTGTAGCTTTAATGAAGCTTTAGCCCTGAAAGGAAAACCCTTTAAAAGGATAACAAAGCACACAATGTCCCTCCATTATGTCTTCCACTATTTTATAAAGCCTTCTCCTCTGCGCCCTCACACACCTAGTTTTGACAACGAGTAACACTGTGTGCTTATCCTCAGCCTTCCCTCAAAAGCGCCGCATGTAAACAACGATGTGGGAAATGAATCACTGATGGAAGAAGCATCGGTGCCTTCGCGAGACGGTGTGGACGGGGAGAGGCAGAGGGACACGGACACCAGAGAGTCAGACGTTGTTGATGGGATGACAGCAGCTGCAGAGATAAACAATCACAACAGGGGGTCAGCAGACAAACACAGGTTCAATACGTTTGGCTATCAGGCAAGTGAAATGGTGGTGGCAGCTTCCTGTACTGACATTGCCAGTGGTGAGATTGAAGTAACTACACTTATAGTATAAAGTTTTGAGCTACTTGTGCATTACTTGAGTATTTCCATTCTGTGTTACTTTTCATAATTCTGCTTATTCAGAGTATTGCACTTTTACTCCAATCTACATCTGTACATAATAACAACTAACTATCTCTGTATTATTTCAAATTATTATCAAAATTCTATCAACCTTTTAATGAGCAGTAACTGTACATCTTTTAAGATCCAGGCACTAATTAATAAAACATTTAAATTTAATAAAACACAAGTTGTTTTACATTAAACAGGTCAAAATATTCTCACGGCACTGCAAGCTTTAACGACTCAATAATAAACATTAATGCATTTCTGACATTGAGGATTTTGCAGATTTAACAGCTCGTTACAAAAATGTTGTTTATACATGAAGGCATCATTCATTAAAACCCTTTAATGTATAAGAGACTATGAAAGGAGCCATTCACCATAACAAGGAACTTTTACTTTTGTTACTCAAAGTACATTCTGCTGATAGCACCTCTGTACTTTTATTCTCTCAACTAATTTCAAATGCAGGACTTTTACTTGTGATGGAGTATCAAGTGTCTCAACAGTCTGCTTGATGCTTGCAGTTTGAGGTGTTACAGACAACATAAAAATTAAATGCCTGATGGTATTTTTCCTTTCCAGAGACGGACCAAGCAGAAGGTTGTGACTGACTTTGCAACAGTGAGTAAGGGAGCATCTGCAGCAGCCAAACCTAGAGCTGCACTGAGGCAGGTCCTGTTCAGCCAGGGAGTATCTGAGAAGAACCCGACGTCTGAGGTATTATGTTGTCTCCTGCTAATTCACTACATGCTGACATGCTTGGAAACAGATACAGACTTGCTCTAACTGTGTCTGTGCGACTGAAACAACTGAAAAAAAAACAAAAAAACATTCACAACAGCTGGTGATGATTTTCACTGATTCATTTTGGCATCACATTTTCCTCCTTTTAATCCCGGAATTGGGTTTCCCCCGATTCTTCTACATTCTTATGTTTGTCCTCCCACCACTCAGGAGCGAGGTCATCTGGATTTGTTGAAGCAGGAGCTGGGGACCTACGCTGTGCCAGTGAGTCTAAAGTGGAGGTGGAAAGAAGAAAGTCGAGGAACGACACTGGAGAATAACTGGACAGATATTGTGCACTCTCATTCGGTATGGGCTCTCTGGCAATATTTGGTATTTTCCTTACTGCCAACAAATCCCATGAAAAGACCAAAATCAACAATGAATTGATCATGTTAACAAGTATTGTCTTGTGTATCCAAAGGTTTATGTACTGTAGTTTACTCATCTGTTCCATGGACCTCCACTGTTGTCCAAAGCTATAAAAACAGTGAGCCACTTGGTTGCACTGGGTGACGCGTTCCTTCATTACCAGGAACATGGGCCCCGTTGTTTATTTTCAGTCAGTCTATGCACCATCCTGCTGCTGTAAATACTCACTTTGGCACCACATCTGCAGCTGAAAATAGTCCCCAAAAAAATACATTATTTACTCTTCTTTGAGTAAGCTTTTTTAGGAAAATTATTAAGCACTTTTTAAATATGAAAGTATATTTTCAGGATAAATGGGTATTAGATCTACAGACAAGCTGGGGAAGTGCGAAAGAATTAACTAGTAATTAACTACTAAATACCTGCCCTGTGTGTGTAGGATTAGATTACATTAGACAGTTTTATTAATTCCCAGTGGGGAAGCTAATTTGCTGCCAAATCAACTAATACAGACAACAAACAATATACAATGCATTCACAGTGCCATAAAAAGCCACTTGAGACATGACTGACAGCTGGCATTACCACATCTAAAAGTGTTCATTAAAAAATCTGACAGCTGCTGGAACAAAAATTAGAAGCATATCTAACTATTGTCTCCTTTTCTTCCTCTTTCCTCTCTCCTCTTCTGTCTCGTTTTAATGGTCAGACCATGTCTAAGATGCAGAGACACCAGCAGGAGGCGCTGTGGGAGTTTGTTCACACTGAGCTCACCTACATCAACAAGCTAATTATCATCAAAGACGTAATATGTCATTCTCTACCTGCTGTCATAGTCTCATTTAAATGCTGTATTTCATCTTATATACTGTATGTGAAAGCTGAAAAGGGATTTTCCACAGGATGTTTAACAAAGATGTGTCTGCTTCTCGCAGTTGGTTATTGCAGCTCTTGTCAACCTGCACCAGCATGGATTTCTCCTGGAGGTCAGTCTGCAGAGCATGCAGCCTCATCTACACTGGAAACACACAAACACGCTGCACAACCCTTAATCTACAGTCCTATTATTTTCCACCGCTCTGCATACCACTGACATACATTACTTGGCACAACAAGAACATCCGCTCAAGCTGATACAGACTACAACACATAAGTGGAAAATGTAGCATGACAGATTTCCATCGAGAAGACGGAAAATATCACAAAGCAGGGGTGTTAACTTTAACACTATGATTTTTATTTTTGTTTTGACGTCCTGCTGTGACAGGTGACCCCTGAGCTGCTTTTCTCCAACCTTCCCTCCATTCTCTTCTCACACCAGCTGTTTTGGCAAGAGGTGATTTATCCCATGTTACAGGAGGTCCGGAGGACAGGCATGCCCTTTGACCCCATGAGGTTAGAGGCCGGTTGCCTGCAGGTATGAACTCATCGATGCATTACAAACACATTCAGAAGTACATTTACTTACAGACGGTATTGTGTATTTCAATTCCATTTTACTATTATATTTTATATACATATATATACATAATATTCCACTACATTGACAAGATTGTAGTTTTTACACCACTACATTTATCTGACAGCTAAAGTTACTTTGCTGATTTCCAAGAACCTATTTGTACATGTAAATTATAATGACTGAATAATGGAACAACATATAAAATAGTAAAAATAGCTCCAACTTTACCAGCTGCAACATAAAAATGGTGGTTACAAGTTAATAAAAATATAATATGTAATGATATAACTTCTACAGGAACGATTGCATGATGAGCACTTACACTTGTCATACTAACTTTCAGTTATATACTCTTAATGAAGTAGTTTTTTCTTGCTTTGATTGACCTTTAAAGAGAGTAAATAAGCAACAAAATCCTCAGCATATGAACATGAGGATGTTTAATAGGGAAAAAGAAAAATAAAACATGTAGAGAATTACAAATAGATAAATAAAATAATATATATGTGGAAAAAGACAGGAAAAAAACTCTGTAAAGGATGAAATATGAATAATCATTTCAGCCCATGAATCCGTCTGGTTTCTCAAATTGTGAGTAATTCTCTCCATTAGATAAATATTGCACACATCAACTTTCATTCGTCAGGCATTTCTTATAAGTCACCAGTAGTGTTCTCGGTAAGCATTTGTCCTTCATCACAAACAACCTACATGGAGTGAAGCTCGGGTGTCCCTCTGGTGCGCTTCAGTTTGTGGATCCTACTGGTTTACATTTTTTTGACTGTTTCTAAATAGAGTAAATAGCCATGAGATATTAAAAGCCTTTTAAATCACTACCCTCTTAAGGGCCTCAAAATGTCTTCAACAATTCTAAACTAGCATATATCCTTCTTTTTCCATTCAAGTTTCTCCAGATCAAATTAAAAATATTTTTTGTTTGAAAGACAGTTTTAAGAATGCAATGAATGGATTTCAGTCCAAAGTGCAGTCACAGAGCTAGGGACAACTGCAAAATACATGAAAGTAATTTGTGTTTTGGTTCCCACGGAATCTTTAACAGTCAGGCTGGTTTGAGCTTATAGTTAAAACACATTATAGTACCAGTTTAGCAATTAACTCCCATAACACTGGCAGACTCATGGTGGGCAGTGTTTTAAAAAAGGAATACAATTGAAGCAGCAGAACCAGAGATAAAATATTTTTTATTCCATTCATTCTTCTACCTTGTAAAAACCTGGCACCTACATTACCCACAATGCAACGTGACCACCGACAGTTTGGTCAAAGATTCAGGTCTGTTATGCTAGAAGAAGCTAATGTAGCCTTGAGCTGCAAGCTTCAAGCAGAGTAGAGGAGTGGACTACAGAGGTCTTGTAAGCTCACTTGCTTTCTAACTCCACACCCCCAGATTTTTCATTTTCAAGCTTGTAGTTTTTCAGGCCCAACCGACTCAGTGTATGTGTTGATTGCTTCTTTGCAACTTGACTTCATTATAAACCAGGATCTGTCCTGTTTAACATTTGAGAATTTCCTTCCTTCCTTCTTTTTTCTAACCACCATGAACAAAAACATTTTTATCATAATCATAAAAATTACAGTTCTTCTATCCACTCAAACAGAAACTAATGGTTACCGTAAAAAGAAGAAGTAAGCCTTCTTCCAGTGTTACCACAGTTAAGTAGCATTTTTTGCTTTGGTCAAGTGACATTAAATCAAGTGAGGTCTCTCCTTTAATCTTACTCTCTGTCCCCCAATGCATAATGCTGGCAACCTCTTCAATTTATATCAGAATTAGCACAGCTCCCTCTGGAGCCACAAAATGCTTTATTCACATGTGCAGTATTACATGGTTGAGTTCCCTTTAAGTAACACTTTGGATGCTGAACTTGTGCTATATGAAGATTGTCATTAATCATCCTTTTCTTTTTGTCCCCCAGTTCCATGAGTGCTTCTCTTCCTATCAACATTACTGTTGGGAGGAGGAAAACAATCTTGAGTTCACACGCAGGCAGATGGAGAGCAACCCACATTTCCTCATTTACGTGCAGGTACACACACTAAAACACTCACTCACACAAACCCCATTATTACCATTCAGTACATGGAATTCATTGTAATAATGAGTAAGTGTTCTGTAATTAATGGTTTCACAGTATGGTTTGTGATGCTTTCATAACCTTGTGGGCGACCTGCCTTAGCCGCTTCCTGCTGGGCAACCACACACCAACGTCTTCTCCAAATGATTCAGACTTAACAGCGGTTTTAAAGGATTTCTTGTTCACAAAACGGAGGTCAAAACATTTCTGGGAATAGGGACTGCAAGTCCTGTACCACTTCTCAGACAGTTATACAAAGTCTGGAAGACTAAAAACCAGCAGGAATTTTGATAGCATTTTAACAGAAACAAACACCCTACAATCAACAATGCTATCTTGTGTATAGAACCAGGTACCACCACTGTAGATGTGTTGCTCTTTCACTTATGTCATACCACATACTTGTGGGAGGTGGTATGTTTTTGTTTAACCAGGAAATGGTACATGGTGGGCGTTAAAGGGTCTTCTTACCCAAATCAAACAAAACAAATACTCTTGTGGTAGGTTTTGTTTTGGTAGAAACTTTCCTTTGTGTCGGTCTTCTGTCAACACTCAGATACTGTTGAAGTAAATCAAAGAATGACGTCTTGATCAGGGTAATCCACAGACCTCCATGTAAACAGTTTTCATTGGGAACTATTTTCTATCTATGAAAAGTCTCCACAGTAAGATTTTTACATAATAATTTTAAAGTGCTTTGAGAAGCACAAAACATAAGAAAATAAAACCAAAATTATCTATATGGTTAGATATAGATACTATTTAGGTTACTGTAGGATGCTATTGGGCACAAATTTTTCATATTATTTAATTTATGGTTCCAACCAATGACTTAAAGCATTGTTGACGTGTTTTTTGTCCTGTTCAGTGGGTGGAGACTCACCCTCAGTGTGAGCGGATGCGGCTCGGGGACATGCAGGCCAAACCCCATCAGAGGATTACAAAGTATCCTCTACTGCTCAAGGCAGTGCTGAAAACCACCCCAGACCCTCATGCACAGCACACACTCAGAGGCATGGTGAGAAACTTTTAAACCACAAAGGGCTTTAGCATAGCCCTTACAGGCAGGCAGACATCTTATATTTCAACAAAATAATTGCTTCTTGTTCAGTATTTTCCTATACTGTATCTCGTGTTATAGCTGTAAACCCATTTCAATGGATATCTTAAATTAAACACAATGCTGTATTATAGATATTATGTAGTGTATAAGGAAGTGATCCAAATTTTTTCACACTATCAAGAACATTTTGAGGAGATGTTTCACAGGGTTAACATGATGTCATCTGCAAAAAGGCTTACTTTTGACAGATTCTTTGCTTAAATATTATCCAGCCTGAATTAAAGAGCGAAATAGGAATGGTTAAATCAAAGCTGACTCACACTAACTGTCTCCCTCTTCCTCCTCTCCAGTTGTCCAGTGTAAACAGTTTTTTAGAGAGTATCAATGACTACTTGAAGCTAAAAGATGAAGAACTCGCTCTCACCATCTCTGCTCAGAGGGTGGAGGGATACGAGGTGGAAGGAATAAATGAAGAAATTGACAAGGTAAAACATGATTCTTTTCCTCCTTTTCAGATAGCAAAAACAATATATGCATAGATGATCAACCTTTTGGTCAACTAGACCTTCACTAGAGGTTAACTAATATTGCACCAATGTACACTGCACCCCACGTCTACTGCACAATCAAACACAATATAAACAACATAACATGAGTGGCAGAGTGTTCATCAAAAGAAATTCAAGCTTAAGGACTACTATGTATACAATGACCAATGAAAAATTAGGCTAATTGGTTGGTTAGTTTAACTGTCATAAATCACTAGAAAACAGTCTACAATAATTTTATTATGACCAAATGTAATACAATATTGTTTCTTTCTTCTTCCTTAAAATCTAAGACAGGAGACAGGATGTCTCAGGTTATAATAATACTGAACATTATTGATCTCTGCCAAAATAACCTAATATTGGCGCTAATATGTTTCTACTGCTGATTACTCATGATGGATTTCCTTGACAGCATGTCAGAGAGATCTGTCAGTTTGACCTAACATGCCCCATCAGAGGAGTAGGTCCTGAAGTCGTACGTAAGCTGCTGCTGGAGGAGAACTTGAAGATTCGAGGGAGAAAAGACAGCAAGGTGAGCTGAGAAGCTGCACTCATTTACTGTTATTATATTATATATATTTGAATCTGTTTGTTCAGAACATTGTTGTCGTTACTTTTTTAACTTTCTCGTGTCTCCTTGTACGTGTCATGATGCAGCTGGAGGTGGTGGCTCTACTTTTCTCAGATGTGCTTCTAATGACCAAAGTCCAGAAGAAGGGAGAGCGGCTGAAGGTAGTTCGACCTCCTCTGGCCCTCGACAGAACATACTGCATAGCAGTGAAGGATAGCTGTGAGTAGCACTTTCTTATGGACAAGATAAAAGACTGAATTCCGTCATAATATCTTATAGATCCCATAATCATTCCTCCTTTTCTCTCAGGTTCATTCGTTCTTGTAGAGGTAGGTGAGCTTCAGTGCGCTATGAATGTCTACATCTTTGCAGCCAGCACTTCAGAGAGCTGCTCCACATGGGTCTCCACCATCCAACAAGCAAAGGTAAAAAATGCTTCAAATGTGTTGAAATTATAGTAGTAGAATTGAAGTTGCTATTCCACACTAGCAGTGTGCAATGTTTGTCTGTTGGTCAATTGTCTGTCCGACACTTCCAGAATGAAATATGTCAGCACCTACTGGATGGATTGCCATAAGATTTTGTTCAGACTCAGATTTTACCTCTATTGTCACCATGAGATTGACATTTTTGGTTCAGAATAAACACGCTGTTGAATTGATAGCCTTTGAATTATTTTATATATACATACAACAGGTCAAGATTTTTACAACACTTTCCATCTGTAGTTTGTGTTTAGTGCTAATTAGCAAATGTAACACAAACAATGTAACACAGCAAACTTTATAGGCTATCTGCTAAACATCAGCATGTTAACATTGTAAAGTGAGCATGCTGATGTTAGCATTTAGCTCATAGCACTGCTGTGTCTAAGTACAGCCTCATAGAGCCCCTAGGATAGCTATAGACTCTTAGTCTTGTTACATGAAACAGAATTAGAAATAACATACTCATTCATTGTTGAATTCTTTATTCATTTATCTATGTCATATTGTCAGGAAACACTGAGGAGCCTGAGAGAAACAGAGAACAACAGACAACTGGAAATCTGGAAATTCCAGCAGCTTGAGGCCAAACCTGTTACAGAAATCAGCACGGATGATATGGAGACAGAGGAACAACCTCTTATAGAGTCAAGATCAAGAGGAGAGACTTTTGTGGATGAACTTACTGAAGAACCTATTAGCCCCCAATCAATAAATGGGATGCTGGCATCTAAAGAAGCAGGGGAGCAGTATCAGCCTCCAGATAATGTGGTCTCTAGCGATGCAATTGTATCTTTTTTGCACCCTGAGTACAACAACAATAACCGTAAAGTAGTGCGTAAGGGCTTTGCTGGTAGGCAACAAGCAGCCAAAGCATATGAATGGATAGAATTGGGAGTGAGAGGACAAGAAGTTGGAATCTTTACAGAGGAAAAAGGGAAAATGGTGGAATCTCAGATGACAAAGGAACAAAGATCGAACTGGAACCACAGGGTGCAATCTGCTCCTAATCTGGATAGTTTTACTCACAGTAATGCAGCTCCATTAAGATACAACACTGGACCACATTATCTCTTGGATGGATATCCAGATATTGACTATCCAATGGATGAAGATAATACTTCACAATCTCCTTACCAACCAACAATATCCAGAGAGGGGCCTGAACTTGAAAGAGCACCGGGAGAAGGAGGACTATCAGCAAGGAGAGTCTCAGATTCCCAGTCTGTGAACCAGCACACCACTAGAAATTCCAGCTACAGCCAGTCCGAAGACAATGAGACATCTCCAGAGGCTTGGGGTTTCTCCAAAAACTTGAAGTCACCTGGGTTACAGAGAAGAAGGCCAGTTAGCATCCCTCAGGGACCCTCCACTCAGATGTCTAGGCATTCATTTCAAGACTCAAACAAATTCTCCTTCTCCAACTCTGACTCAAACTACAACCTAAATATCAAGAGAAACTCTCTTCCTACTGGCCAAAACTCAGATTCCCACCGGGTGCTAAAGCTGGGCTCCCTGAAGCAGAACCAAGGGATGTTTTGGAACATACATGATAGAGTCTCTCCAGACCCCCAAACATTGTCTGAGTCTGAGCTGCCTGATGTTAACTTCTATAACAATAGGCCCAAATTGAAAACCCAAAGGAGTGCCTCCATTCCTAACATCATCATCGAAGGAGGCCATGGACTTCGCATGCACTCCAGTAGTCTGTACACATTACCCAAAGAGAAGGACACACAATTCCCCATCTCAGGACATAATCCCAACGGACACCCCTCGCCTCTGGAGGGTCTTTTGGAAAAAGCCAATGAGAGAGTGAGAGACAGAGATGGATTAAAAAGAGACAGAAATTTGAAAACAGCTAATTTGAAGTCAAGGTATCCTCCATCCCCCTCGTTTTCCACCACACCATCACCATCGCCCAGTGATGGAGACAGAGACACAGAGTGGGAGGAGGAGGTGGAGCTAATGAGACACAGAGCACCCACAGTGAGTGAAGGATGGAAGGAGCAGCTGGTGGACGGAGATGGAGATGAAGATGAGAAAAGGGACAGGTTAGTATGACAAAATGTCCTTTACTTTAACACGTCATCTGGGTAATGTATGGATTTGTATGGAACAGCATACTCCCACTACAATAACCACTAACCCTAAAAATTATGAAACCAATGCTTTAAAAGTATGTAAAAAAAAAAAGCCTCTTAATAGAGAAAACATGCAAATATGACACATAATTTATTAAGAGTGGAACATCATTTTACCTTCCAATTATAGTATGACTTTGAATGAATCTTTCAATGTATGAAGTTAACAGACAGACAAAGTATATTTGTTGATCTTCTGTGAAGAGAAGTTGTCACTTACAATATACAAAGAAAAAACACAGAGCAGCGTTCCAGGAGCTCGTGCTGATTCTTTCTCCACCCTGCTGCTCTGCATATTTTCATCACACAATGTAGATGTTCTTTGACATTCAAATGAAGTTTGTGTCATATCAGAGTCTCCATTTGCTGTCTTTGGTACAGAACTGCTTACTGGTATCACATGACAGATGTTTTGATTCTTTCTTTCTTCTTCTTGAATAATAGACACAGTTTGTATTTATTTGTACTACCCTTAATTTGGAAATGTATTTTTAAACTGTCAAATCTCTACTATTGAAATGAGTTTTCAGTGTTGAGTAGGCATGTAATGGACAGACTGTTCTGTGAGAATGGAAACTTAAAATTACCCTGTGTTTTTCATGTTTCTTACCACAAAGCACTGTGGGCATAAATCCTAATTAACACCTTTAACGTGTCTCATAAAACACTTTCCTTGTTAAATGGCCAATTTATTACTCTATACTAATTGAACACTATAAAGTATATTTATCAGAGCATTATTTAAGCTTTGTCTGTTTTAATGTTATCATGAGTTCCCATAATTGTATGTATTATGTATTAATTACTGTATTGTGTCAGTACTTCTTTTTACTTTATGGGCTCTTAAACAGCATTTAGTCCATGTAGTAATAATAATACAATTACAATGTCCTATCCAACTCCAACTTTGACTTTCTGTTTCAATCTTTCTTTAGTGTTGTCTTTACGGATGGTGTAAATGTGGACTGGTCAGGATGGTGCTTCGATGATGATGAAGTCATGGATCATTTACAGCCTCAAGCCAGGGGGCTTCTGGAGGACATCAACCAATCTCTGACCTCTTGTTATCTCTACGAACGTTCAGAGCAAGAAGACGGAGAGTGTAGTCAGGTGTAACCCTGAAGCTGCACTACAGAGTCCAGTAGTCACTGGAATCTGAATCCAAGACACTGAAGGGACAAATTAACTAAATTTTTATGAGAAGCCGAAGCACAAAAGAGGAGATAATCTGTTGTTGACACAGAAGTCTTTTCAATCAGAATTTATGGCCAATAATAATTCTGTAATTAATGTAAAATAATGTAGTATGTATTTTTTAGAATAATACATAAACATGTGTTCCATGTTTTGTGTAACTATAATGAAACATTATTTTTTATAAATTACTGTATATATTATTTATATCATTAAGGATTTCCCTGAACATTTACCAAGAGTTTCAGAATATATATATTGTAATAAATAAAACCAGATTTATTTCTGTTAAATGTAATTTATTTGTAAAACATTTTATTTTCAACAGGTATATATGGCAACAAATCCTCACTTACAGTAGAACAATTACAGTTACAAAGATAATATACAACATTTCAAAGAACAACACTGCTACAACGTCTGCTCTGGTTATACTGTATTTACAAAACTTGTGCAACAAAAGTCTCCCAATATATTGCAGGCATGAAGAGGATGGATCTCAATTCAGTTTAGTACCGTGAGATCTTTCCTGCAATGCCTCTGCATTGATATGTCTTTACATTTTCTCTCGGTTCCTTTCTCTTTCCTCCCGCTCATTGGAGGTGGTATGAACAATCGTCTCCAGCGCAGGGTACTGAAAGATCCTTTTCCTCTGCGGAAAAAATATGTGCAAAATCGTTAAATAATTGTCGAGTCCACTTCAAGTTCTGATGTATGAATACGCACATAAATGTATCTTTAAATAATATTTTGTAATCATTTTTTTTATACTTTTACCATATAGCATTGGATATAAGTCAGTGAGAAATATTATTTTTAATCAAGTGACTTATCTAGAAACAAAGACAATAATTAAGCTTATTTCAAGCTTTTACAAGAAATGTGGGAATTGAAATAATATCATACAACCAGATTTTTTATCGTTCTTCCTAAAAGTAAAAATATTCCAGTAAAACTGAATGCAGGGTTAAATTAGTTTTTTGAATTACTGCAATTTTCACAGCGCTGCAATCAACAGGTCTTTACCCTTTGGTGGTTCTTGTACATCTGAATCAAAATCAACAGCAGAACGATGAGGAGAAAGCTGAGGCCGACCACGGCAACGGTGTTCTGTGAGACACCTGACGATTTTTGTCCACTCAGACCACCTGTGGGGAAAATACAATATAAAAATAGAATCAGATAAAGGCTTGCATGGGCAGAAGTCCAGTATGTTTGTATATTTTGAGTGTAGTTGTTTATAGCATATTATCATAAATAAAATCAGGAGAGAACTTACCCATTAGGTGAACCTGGTATGTAACATTTCCCAGAAGGCCTTCTTTCCCGTAGAATCGACATGCCCATTCACCTCGGTTCTCCTCTGACACTTTGCTTATACTTAGAGTCTTCCCGTTCAGGATGGAGCCCTCCGACCGGGTGCCATTGAGGTCATAGGCAACATGAACCCACTCATAGTTGGTGACTTCGCTTGTGTCACTCAATTGGCAGGTCAACATCAAAGAGTCTTTCTTCTTTGACGGGATGCTGCTGTCAACTGAGAGAAAAACGAGATGATAAAATGTACTGTTGATGAAAAAAAAAAAGATTCAGTAGAACTTTACTCAAGCTTAAACTGAATACATGGAGGCTTACTTTTGGCAACGACAAGTTGCATATTTCGAGTCAACCGTTGTTGTTCTACGGTCCCAGAGCATCTGTATCTGCCCGCATCCTCAAACCCAACCTCTTTCAAACTAGCAGAATTATCCGAGGAGGGCTGAGAGGAGGGTGAGATTGGAGAGAAAGAGTCAGGAAGGCGACCAGGAGTGGGTTTGAAAGACCCAGCTTTCAGTTTCTCCCAGACCGTTCTAGAGGGGATTAACTCGGAGGAGAACACACAGGGGAGTGTGACTGCAGAACCCACAGCAGCATACACTTTGGTATCATCTTTGGATGGTTGGACGATTCCTGTGAGAGAAAGGGAATGAAAGTGGAGAGTTTAAGGACATCTGTCATGAAAAAACATGAACTAAACAGCTTAATTTCTTAAAACGAATTATGTTTTCCAAAGCTCTTTTTCCTCAGAATCTTACCCATCACAGTCAGTGTTGCTGAAGCTCGCCCCTCTTTGCCCTTGTAGTCCACGACACAGGTCCAGTTTCCTGTCAGTCTTGCAGCTGCCTTTTCCCTCATGAAACCTTTGTTCATGATTGCAGTCGGGGTCAAAAATCGGCTGTTGTTTAACGTCCACTGCACGGTGGCGCCATTAGGCCAAGGATTCACATTACAGCTGATTGTAACGTCTTTTCCCCATATGGGAACCGAAGGAGAGATGGACACTGTAAAGGATACAGGCAAGGATGAGATTATTGACATATATTACAGCTAATTTCTGATCCAGATACACACACAGATATATTGAAGTTGTAGTAAAGAAAACCACCATTTAACAGTCACAACATCTAGGATTTCGAGGCTCAGTATAATTTTCTTACCTTTAATGATTCTGAGTGACACCACGTTTTCAGTAACCTGGTTTCCATTTTCCACCCTGCAAGAGTAAATTCCTCCATCTTCATCCATTACGTTGTTGATTTGCAGGCTGTAATCGCCTCTTTCAAACTGGGAGTGGGGGCATTGTGCGCGGTGGCTCCCTTTGGGTGACCAGCTATAACCCCAGTACTGCAGACCACTCCTTTCCTTTCTCCAAACAGTGCTGCGGATAGAGGTGTCACAAACAATACAGTGTCATCGGCATAAAGACAAAACTCTTCAGTTTGAAGTTCGAGGAAAGATGGATGGTGAAGCATGGGATTGGAGGGAACCTGAGGAATTTGTAGGTTTTTGGAGCTAGACATATAAAGGAAAGAGGGAAAAGGACATAGACAAGTGGAGGAAGCAAAGAAAAAGTTGTGTCTCACCCTTTGTTAGCTTTAGTCCAGATGATGGCAGGGAGATGTGTAGACAAAGGGTTGCATTTACAGGGTAGTATAGCCTGAGAGCCTGCTTCTGCAAACACCTCGATTACCTCACTTTGAGCCCCTGGGGAAGAAACATGAAGAAATTTACTTACAAAGTAAATGGGCACCTTTGACCTGCAATAAAAATAATAATAATAAAAATCTGATGTACATTTTATCACAAAAAGGTAAAAAAACGAATTGTGGTAGAAAAATTATAAATTTACCTGTCATAAGAAGGGCCATCCCCACAACTATAAAATACTGCAGTAGCATCTTTTTCGTTGCTTTTGATTTTGTTGAAATTTTAATCTCTTTCCCCCACTTGAACTTCTATGAGCTCTTTTTTCCACCTTCTGAAGTCTGTCTTTCTCTCTGCTTGATGAGTTGTCTGATGTGTTTTTGTAAGTTGGGCTGATGAGGTATATATATCGATGGGGGTGGAGATCATAGTGTGTCGTAGTTCCTCTGCAACCATGTGACTTCAGCTACAAGCCAGGCTTTGATGCGGTCTGTCTGTGTCAGCTTGGAAACTATAAGACAGAGATGTAAACAGGGAAACCCACTTGTTCCCACGGATTCTCTCGGATTCTCTCTTCTTCATTCTGTTTCCTTATTCACATCAACTATAGAAGTAAAATATGTAGCATTATTTCATTTGCAAGTAAGAGCACGCATAAAATACACACACAGCATAGGACTATGCACAGTAGCATCTACAGTAAGACTTGTCTGTACCTCAAAATCATTTTAGAAATGCTTGTATACCAAATAAGCATTAAATTACGTTATAATTACTCTCCACACACTGCAGTGAATGTAACTTGTTTACAAATCATTTTGCGATCATTCACGGAAGCTCTAGTTGTTGTTGCTTTGAAACCGAGATGTCACTCTTCCGTCACTGCCAGTTACTTGTGTTTACAACCACTGGTTAACTCACAGCAATCATTATCATCATCATCACCACCAGTATGATGAAAATGAGGCCATTCGGTGATATGGTATCACGTTCTGATGGATATTTAGGAAAATGAATCATCCACTTCTTTCTCGCTTCTCTGTTCCTTTTCGTCAATTTGTATCCAACTGTCACTGCTTCAGAAACAGGCCTACACTGCCAGTCAAACATTAGTCTAAGAGCCTATATTTTAGCATATCTCATTAAACATCAACCAAAGGGACTGTATATACTTGGAGAATGTTGAAAGTTGAAGTTGAAACATTTAATACATGGTTTATAACAGACTAATGTAGTTGTAGGCAGATATTAGTGTTTTTGATATAATGAATGTACAACTATAAGTCATCCAGTGTTGCTATACAGTATAAACAGATGAGCAATGACCATATACGAACGCAGTCAAGAAGACCTGCTCAAATATGCTGTGTTGTAAAACATTTCTTAAACTTTCTCTTATAAATGCTACATTTGGGTGTTGAACTAAAGTGTTACCTTTTGATCTCTGTTTTCTTTTTATCTTTGTAGTATATTACATACCTGTACATACCTGTGTGTGCTTTCAAAGACTTACTAGTTATTCTCAGAACTCGTCAGTGCTATCTATCTATCTATCTATAGATAGATAGAATGTAGGATAGATAGATAGATAGATAAGACTAGATTAGAGTAGATGATAGGATGACCTAGGATAGATAGATGATAGATAGATAGATAGATAGATAAATAGATAGATAGCGCTGACGAGTTCTGATAATAATAGTAAGTTTTGAAAGCACACACAG